GTATTTTTCGTTCTGGTCTGTATGTATGTGTTGTTTCTAACCGAAATTTGAGACTTTTAAAATTTTGTTTCACTAATGCCTGCAAAACAGAAACGATCTCCTTATTTTAACGCTTCTGAAAGAGATACTCTTCCAGAGCTCGTTGCGTTTCATAAAGATCATCAAAAATAAAAAAACAGATGCTGTGTCTTCCCAAGAAAAGCAGTCAACATGGTAGAAAATAACGGGCCAATTTAATGCTATTTGTTAAAACAATTAATAATTAATTTTAAACAACAATTCCCCGTACGACAGCAATAATCAGAACATTCTACAATAACCAAAAAGAAGGCATCCGGAAGCACATTTCCAATAAAAAAAAAAAAACTTTATCAAACTGGTGGCGGAGGAGTTGTTCCTTCAGTTGCAAGGGGCAATGCAGATAAAATATTATTATCTATTGAAAATAATAAGACCTTGTATGGATTGGATCAATCACTTGCTCCTTTTGATGGTGATTGGGTACAGCCAAATGAAACTCCGCCACCTCTCATTTTCCCAATTAGTCAGAAAGGGTGTGGATAAAACGTTGAAATTCAAAATTCATGATGTACGTAGGTACTTATTTTTTGAAAATAGGACATTATGATTACGCATTTATATACGTATGCTGTATATTTGACTAAGTAGCAACTAAAGTGAGGTTGGAAGAAGGCTAAGTCATGCTTAAGTACTCGAGAACGAGTCCTTAAATTTAAGATTTTCGAAGACGAACTTAAGATCGTGCCATCGGTTGGTGCAAGCTATTTTGGCAGTTAGGCTCGAACTTAACGCTAAGCATAACCTTAAGTCTTCCTTAAATATTTGGTGCAAGTGGGCATCAGTTTTCATTATGAATTATTTTTTTACCAGTTTTTCTGCACTCGCTAAACACCCCTAGAAGAATTACGCCAATTTTGAATCACCCTGTATAATTTCAACTTCACAGCTGTCAAGTCAAGTTTGTAGTCAGTCACAGTCAAGTTGTCAGTCACAGTCAAGTTTGTACATCAGAGTATTCGCTAGTCAAAAAGTTCAAACGCTCACTAGCGGCTAAATTATAACTATACTTTAACAAGTAAAATTTGACACTTATTTTGAATAGATGGCAGCCTTAAAACAAATAGATAAATTTAAAAGTATGCAAGTACTGTTAGGTATTCGCGAGTTCAAAAGTGCAAATGCTCTTTGGTGGTTAAAATAATAACTAACTAACACGTTTTGTTAGCATTGGTGATTTGTTTTGTTCTGTTCTAATCAACTTTTGCAAGCTTTTCATATTTTTGTCATTCATTTTCGTTGCAACTGCAACTGTCACTTTTCCCTTGTTTTCCAACTCCAATAGATAGACAAGTTTGACAAGTCTCAACTGGCACTCGGCAACGAGCATTTTGACGTTTCGCAGCGCCCCCATCGGTAGTTGAATTTGCGAATTACGTTTCTACGGCACCGCCAATGACATCGACTAGAGCGACCCCAACGTCGAGTTCATACTCTCCTTTAAGAATGGTTTCATAACCACAAAACTGCATGTGTATGTTAGTAATACGTATACAGTTCAGTTGCTTAAATTGTTAGAATACTATTTGTTTTCAGCCAAAAACCGGAAATTAAAGTTATTTTGGCATTAGGTATGCAACCACATCACAGATTTTATCTAGTGATAACAGGATAATATGGTAAAATAACGAAAGCACATTGCCAGGAAAAAAATGTTTAAGCAAATATCCATCTGTCATTGCTCGATGTTAAACAATATGGCTGACGCAAAATCGGATCAATTCCAAATCAAATGAGTTAGAACGTTTGTCAATAGGTGTGTGAAAACATATAATTCATATCGATCGGTCATGTGCGAGGGATCCGGACTTATTTAGATCTAAACCTACCTTCTTCAGAAGTTTGGTGATTTGTAATTTACGTGGCGGTTAGCAGTTTGAAGTACTTGCTATTTGATGTGTATCTTCTCGTATCTATGTATGGAGGGTGTAATAGTCCAATCCGCATCAAAAATTGCGTGTCTAACAATGCACTTTATACACCGCCACTTGGTAACACATTTCACTTTGGTTTAAAAAATTGATTAGTCTATAATGTCCCGTAATAACTAACGTAACGTATAAATCATATCATATCATATAGCGTGGAATCATGTATAACGCTAAAACACTTGAAGAGATGTGGTTTGTATGTGCCGCCATTCTGGTAGTTCTACGCCTTGATGACGAGCGGCCATACCAACTGCTTCCCAAACGACGCCGAGGCGTACTTACTAACACGTGTTAAAACAACGACTTACCTCGTATGAGCTCAAAATTATTCACTAATCAGACCGCTGCCAACTTGAATAATATCCGCTAGCTATAAATTGTCTAAAGCAAGCATAATGGCTCTAATACTTTTCCTTAATGCTTGACTTCGTAGATTCCTTGACAAAGTATACCTTTCGCTCACTTCGGATTACTGTGCTGGACGGGCTGTGCGGTGAACAAGCGCGCATCAAACGTCAACGATTTGTTCCGATGAGATCCGCTGCAGGACGATCTTTTTGGCGCATTGGAACTGCAGTCGACGGATTTTAGAGATAGAGACAGAACTTGAAGGTCCAACTCATCGCCACTTTCAATTCAGTAGGTTTTCAAGCGGCGTATTGAACGCATAACATACGCTCGAAGTTCGACTTCACCAGCAAACCAGGTAGAAAATAGAAAAGTGCAGGTAGTCGTTAACTATGTGGAAGCGATTAAGTTCCTTTCCACTTCGTGTTCGTCGCCATATTTGATTCGTTTATGACGTATTTTAAAGGTCGAGTTGGTTGTTCTGCCTGTCATTATCAGGCAACAAAATGTTTCCGCCGAGTTTCGTGTTATTTTCCTACTCTTTAATATCCTAAACCAGGAATGGTTTGTTTGAATTAGACTTTTAGTGATATGTTGTGTTGTTTCACCTCTCGACTATGGAGAGCGATCAGAAAAGTGTTTTCCCAACTTGCCACCTGACCCGAATAACCCGTTAATAACTTGACCCACTTTTACATTCCGTCGAAATGTAATACCTAGGTAGATTTAAGCTCCTCTTACCTTGATAACACATAGTTTCTCTCCAAAACTGCTCAAAAATATGTTCATCATCCATCTCAGCAAAGGGAAATTTATATGTATTTGACACAACTGCCAATTTGTTTATCGATTGGTGGTTGTTACCACATGGAGATCTCAGGTAACTAGACTTTTCTACTTCAATAGCAATTAATAATTCAAGGTAGGGACATTAAAAAGATACAACCACCGTTAAAATAAGAATATCAAATGCAATTCTGCAATTATAAATGTTTCTACCTAATTTGACTGCAAATCTTAGATTAATGCCTCAAAATTGCCTGTTTTTACATGCTAGAAACTGGGCAAAACCAAATTAGAACTTCAATTTAATGAAATCAGTGTAATATTTCATATTTACAACAAAATACACACAGAGTTCGAATCCTAATAGGAATTTTCCAAAGCTTAAAATATGGATAACTGGTTTCAACATTTCTTTTTAATAAAATAAAATGTTCCAAATAATCAAGAAAATCTGCACATCTAAAGATCCGTAATAAACGTTTTCAGTTGAATTAGGAACCATCAGTGTACAGAAGCTGGAAATATGGACAACTGTTTACAGCATTTGTTTTTAACCAAATGAAATATGTTTTGTCTTATAATCATAACATACGAGTGAAAAATCTGTAATTGAAAGTAGATAGTTAGTTGACATAGCCAAGCATGAACAGGGGCGGATTGACCGAGGGGCTGTAGCCCCGGGCTTTAACCTTGAGAGGGCCCCGCGAACTCTGACTTAAAAAAATTTCATTTTCTGCCCTCGTGAGGTTTTAATCCACCCCTGAGCATGAATAGAAATTTAAAGAAGCTTAACATGTAGATAGTAGTTTGCAACATTTTCTATTAGTAAAATAAAATATAGGATTTCATTTTAAAAAAGTATTCATACAAAATAGAAGATCACTAAAGTAAAATAGGTACTTAGTTGTGGTACCCAACCATCAATAAAAGTTTGTTTGAAGCAAGAAAAATTGCAGCAGTTTCTTTTAATCAAATAATATCGTGGGTTTAAAGCTAAAACTGACCAAGTCTGAAATATAAATTTTTGGTAAATGCACTTTTAAACCGAACCAAAAATTATATCAGAACCGTTTCAAAACTTTGTTATTAAAACTTATCTGTCTCCCTGTTTGTGTGGCCTTGGGGGAGTCAGTTTTTGAAGGCAAATATGTATGTTACTGTTTTTAAAGTACTTGGTCAACAAACACAAATATTTTTAGCTTTAAACGCACGATATTTCATACTATGAACAAAATCTAAACACGGAATGAAAAATCATTTATAGAACTTATCTAATGGAATTAGCCAAAAATATGTGAAAAAGTTTCAAATATGGACTATTGATGCACCTTTTAATGATATAAAATATATTTCATCTTATAAACACGAAATGATAAATCGGTAGATAGGTACTTAATAGAAAGTATTTAGTTTTTTTTGTTGGGTTGCATCTGCTTGTGTTGAATTTCATGCGTGTTTGTTCAAGCATGAAAGAAGTTTACAGAGGCGTAGAATACAGGATGAGTTAGCGACAATCCCTTCTTAGACCGTGCAGAAATAGCAACTGGAAAAAGCATTTATATATATAAAGTGCCGTCGCCATAGTATGTAGTTATTACAGTTAAACTTCGAACTCGGCTAATCTCGACGTTAACCGGTTATTATCGAGTTTAGCACAAATGTTATGTTACTGTCAAAAGAAATTCAGATAATCTCATCAGAGTTCAGCCATTTTTGCAGCAAAGCTCATCACTAAAAAGTCTGGTCTTGGTCTTGATATTGCAGCAAGAGTCTTGCAAGTCTTGCTTTTATATAAGCAGCAAAATTAGACAAAATTATTTAATAGTAACAATAATAATAATTAAATTAAAAGGATAATAATAATCTATACGAAACAAATTAAAAAATCTGAGAATATTTGCTATTTTAAAAAGTTTAATTATTTTGTAATTGTGGACCTGTCTTTTTTGCAAGACCAAGTTTCGATCATCAGTAGTTTTTTTTTATGGATTTCGAATTAAATTCGAAGTATTTTTTGAATAAAAATAGTACCTATGTACCATGTGACTGAATTCAATACTTTTGGACATAACAATCGAACATGGGAGCGCAACAAAAGTAAACTTTATAATTTTTTTTACTAAAATAAACTATGTCATGTAAAAATTTTAAAGTAATATTAAAATAAATATTGTCGTTTTCGCTGAGGCATAATTCTAATCTTGTTATGAAGATCTTCTTGCAGCATTTGTGGAGATATTTTGTGGAAAGCGCGTCTTATTATCTGCTTCACATCCTCGAGGTCATTTCATTCGAATCATCATGGTTGATCAACTTCTGACTGGTAGACTTCCTTTGACCTATCCCCAAAGAAAACAGTCACAAGGAGTGAGGTCCGGTGATCTGGCTGGCCAATTATTATGCGTGCCGCTTCCTATACATCTATGATGATATGATCGATGCTACAAGTTACGCACAGTAAGGGAAAAGTGGGATAGATCCGTCATGCTGAAGCCAAATATTTGGGCGGATGTTCGGAGGAACTTCCTCTTAATAGTTCTGGGGATCATTAATTATAATAATAGTGAGAATTATATCAGATTAATCGCCAATCGGAATGTTTAGAATCAAAATAAAAGTCATATAGTATCTATGTTATACAAAAAATACTTCGAATTCAATGTAGAAACTGGATGTGGATTAAAAAGTTCGCTGCTGTTCCATTATATAAAAGTAACTTGACCGTCATAACTACAAGTTCACAGTAACAGAAATAAATAGTTTCGCCACAAGCACCACACAATTATCAAATAATTTTAATTAACATTGTCAATTTTTCAGGATATTTTTACTGCCAATACTTCCTAGGCATATCTTGAGACTTTTGCTTAAGTATGTCATATTGTAAAGTATTGCCATTTATTCATTTCTTGCATCTGAATAAACTAGTATTTATGCATTACTGTTCAATGAAGCTGCAAATTGGTTGATTTATGTATCAGTACCTAATCAAAATTCCTAATAAAATTAACATTTAACAAGTAGTGCGCGAATTATTTGCCTCATAAATTAGTTTATTAAAACTTTTATTGGTTTGGTTTTTTGTAGCATTTATTCACTGATCTTTTTTATTCACTGATCTGAACAGATCGCCAAGCCATACTATTTATTTGGTCAACCACCATCAAAGCAATGTTGTCAACCTTAAAAATTCAAGTGCTCACGAGGAGGGAAATAAATTTCGTTTTTTTTATATTTCAAGAATCTCAGTTCTCTTATCACAAACGCAACGTGTTTTCCACGTTGCCGAGTATTTAGTAGCAGCTTGGAACTTTATAAACACGTTTTTAGGGGTGAGGACAAGGATAATTGACCTCAGTGTTTCGAAGCTAACACTTTTGAGATAAAAGAAAAAAGGGACCTATTCTAATTTTATAAATACATGAACAAGTACATGGTTATTCAAAAGGTTTGTAATAAAAGAATATTCGTGACTCGGGTCAGAACGGTCAGAAAGAAGAGCAATAATGAGAAGGTCAGAAAATAGTTTTGCTGAAGCAAAATGGAATTTTATTTTCTGATTCGATCTTAAAACATGAGCTCCGCTCTATAATAACTTTATCTATTCTATAACTTAGCAGAATTATTTTATGATCAATTAACTTTTTTATGGCATATTAGTTTTATTTTGAAAAGTTTTCGTTGAAAAGTTCACACAGCTTTTGATACTTCAGCACTCAGCGTCAAAAAGAAGGTGACTTAGAGTCTTCGGAACTTCAGCATCACCATCATCTTCAATCAGCTTATCGAAATCTACTGCCGAACGTAAGCGTTTGGTCTTGTGCTGTCTGCATCATGCATTCAGTCTCTATATTTGGTCTGCATCCAGTTGGTACTGATGCGTTTTAGTCGTCGATCCATCTAGTGGGGAGACGTCCTCTATTTCCGATCTAGGTCTCCATTCAAAAATTTGTCTTGTCCATCTATCATCAGAAGATCCTACAATGTGTTTCGCCCAGTTCCATTTTAGTACAGCTATTCTCCCAACGGTCAGCAATTCCGGATTGTCTGCGGATTTCCATTCCATCGTAAGTTCCAGTCCTCTTAAAGACTGGAAGAACACACTGGTTAAATCGTTTTCTTTCGGCAGTTTGGCAACTCTGCCTTAACGACATATTGGATTTTTAGGGTCTGACTGGAAATCTCGAGTGCGAGGTATAGCAAGTTCGAGTTGATTGTCGAGGATCTCTTTGAGTTACCACTTTGAATAAAATATTACAAAATTTCGTATAAAACCCGAAATGCATGTTAACAAAATTAGATTATTTTCATTCCTAATAGTTATATTATAATTTAGAACGTGATTCATGCGCAATTTACATCCGTGTAGTAGTTGTATCATACTGATTAATTTCTGATAACATTTTAAGTAAATTAATGCTAACCTTCAGCACGTGCGAGTTTTACGATTGTGATATAATGTTCATTACATTATGTTCAACTGACAACAATTATTTTACAATTAATAATACTAACAGAGCAAAATAAAATTTATTCTAAAAGTGACCTTCTGCAGCAAGCAATCGAAAAAAGCGTTACGCCACTGCATGCACAGACAATGAATTTGGTCATTTGGTCGCTAAACCTTTTACTATTGTCTTCTGATATTTAGCTCCTCTTCCGATAGATTTCTATAACTTGCAAGCCTTTAAACGGTCACAAGAATTAATATATTTTCGACCTTGAACTTTTGCTCGGTTGCTGACTATTCTTTTACAGTGTTTGGTTAACTTCGTATTTATTTGGGCTTTTAAATAGTCGTATAATTTTTAAAATATGCACATCTTGGAGTGGGTATAAAAATGGATTGGATTTCAAAGGCCTTTCAGTGGTGCTTTTGATTTCCATATACGATATTAACACACTGTTTCGCAATTACCCAGAAACCATCACGGACCTAAATCTGTCTCGAATAACATGACGAAATTATGTTTTCAACATCAGAACAAACAACGTAAATTGCAAGCATTTTTGCACACCTCAATTTGAGTTGAATTTTTTATGGACTCGAGGACATGCATGATTGGAAACGCAAGCATGTTTTGCACATTGGCCTGCATGCCAAAAAGGTCAAGTCAAGTTTATTTTAACTTTTATAATGTACGTCTAATCTAGAGGGTGTAAAATACAAGCGGAGCTTGTAATGATTTTATATCTTCGGGCGTTTCTACGTAAGGGACCCCACCGCCTGGCCAGATCTATTTTAATTTAGTTCATTTTATTTGTCCCACATAGCAAAGCCGTTCTTCTATTTGGCTTGCCTTTTAACCATCTTAAAGGTAAATACATAGGGTTCCGTTTATCAAATGATAACAGTAAGTAATGTAGTTTTCCTAGATTAAGTCAATAAAATTCAAAGCGACTGATAAGAATAATGCATACTATGAAGCTAGCCCGTTTGTTTTTTGCCAAGTATTATTTGATGAATCCACAGACGCCTATCGGGTGCACATTTTAAAAATGTTTTTGTAATGTACAGAGTGTCCTAAGAGTCCTAAAAGTATCAAAGTTGTGTTTTTCTAAATGAAATACCCTATATATTATTGCATTTTTAGATTCTCTGAGCAAAATAAGTGTTTGTTTTAATAAGATTTATAATGTCTAAATCTAAAGGTTTTTTAAATAATTCAAATTTTATCAAAATCTAAT